GACGGGCCCCCTTTTGGTTTCTTGTTTTTAAAAAAAAAAAAAAAGGGCCCCCGGGGTTGGGAAAAAATTTTTTTTTGGGGGGAAAAAAAAAAAAAAAAACCGGGGGAGGGGGGGGGGGGGGGGGGGGGGGGGGGGGGACGAGCGCTCGGTCCCACACCTCCCCGCGTGGCGCTGCTGTTGCCTATTGAGAGATGGGCATGCAACACTGTTGCCGCAACGCTGTCACCTAACGCTGCAGATCCAAGGTTAAAAATGTTTTTTGAGTTGCACAACATACTCGCGCATGTGTATGCACGGAGTACGTGCCCAGCTTACGCTAACCTTCGGTATTGGGTTGCGGTGCAAAGAAACCCGCTCTGACTGCTGTTTTCACCACGGACACTAGCAGTTGTTTCAACCTCAAACACTTGTTTTAAGTGCCTCCTAACGTTAATGGTCTACATGTCGCATCACGCTACTGTATCAAAGCTTATATTGCCGCCGTTCTCTTAGGGTAACCTACAGCTAGGGCAGATCCGCTTATCGCGCATGTGCTTCTTCAAGCGATACAATGTGACGGTTGTGTTCCATCAAGGACGAAAAAAACAAGCAGGAATGCATACGCCTGTACTGCCGGAGAGAGGGGAAGGCAGGGCATTGAGACCGTCGTGACAAGAAAAGGTACTGAAAATTTTCATCTCCCTAGCCTACCCCTGAAAATGTTCCTCTCCTCAGCCTATCCAGGGATTTTCGAGGTCTAGCAACACCACAGACAAAGACCCCATACAAGGTGCACACCAAAGATAGACGCATGGGGCGTGACGTTGACACGCGCGAGTCCCTTTTTCTTACGTGCACAAGCATTACCTACCTTTGTCGAAAAAACGAAAGCACCGATCCGTCTCGAACGATGAGACTTATTTTACCCAAACAAATCATACTGGAACTCATTTTGGACAAACCTCCCCCTCCCCCGTCATAGTCTTAAGAAGCTTTCTTGCCTTTTTATCTCTAGAAGTCGCCCTGAGAAAGCCACTTAGCTTAGTCCCTGCCTGCCATTGAAACCGACCCGTCTGCATGCACGCATCTTGCTTGCTCCACGCCCTACGCTCGCCAAGCTCACCGCCGTGAAGGTTCGCACCGTTCACAAGCCACCAAACCGCTGACCTAAAACACGCAAGTGCGTCGTCACACAAACCCGTTTCCCACCAATGCTTGTGGCGAAAACATCGTGCGCCGTGCGCGAATGCGTGGTGGCGGGAAACGCACGCGTATCACGATCGCACCTACCCGCCGAACCCCTCCGCCGACACAAACCCGCCTCCGGCAACGGAGCTCAAAACAGCGGTTCATGGCGCGGGTGCTCGCCACGTCTCGCGCAAAGGGGGTGCTGCTGTTGTCGGCAACTATCAAGTGCGCCCCGTGGCAGCAAATAAATTCCTCCGATCCGCGAGGACAAGATATCTACATTTCGGCTCTATTGAAAGGTGGTGGGTTGCACGCTTAAACAACAAGCCAGGAACCGCCCACCATTCCACATTCCAAGTATTGTACATTGAAACAACTATTGTGTTTTATTACCTCCCGCCTCTAAGTACTCCCCCCGCCCCCCACCTGCTACAAACAAGACACCGCTCCGCGTCAACAACCCATCAGTCAGCCGACTTTATTTTTTCTAGGTCTGCCACGCTTTCGTTTCTCTACCCGCGCCGGTGCCGCCGCCGCCGCTCCCGCCGCCCCCCCGCCCCCGCCCCCCGACAAGCCCCACCCGTTAGTCGCCGACGCCGCGGCAAGAGCCTGGGCGTAAGCCCCGCTCGCCTGTTCCGCGAGGCTCGTGGCCGCCGCCTCGAACATCGTGCCGGGGGAGTTGTAGGTGAAGCAGTTGGCCACCACCAGCAGCAGGTCGTCCTGCAGCTCGGAAACGTCCCGGTACCGGCGCCCCTCTAGCCGTCCCCTCACGGTGCCCAGGTCCATCGGCCGCAGGATCGCCGAGATGTAGCCGGGGGCCGCGGCCTCCGACACCGGCTCGGCGAACCAGCCCTCCTCGTCGATCGCGCCGAGGATGCCCAGCAGGTGCTCCGT